ATCACTGATTTTCAGCGACCCATCCAATTGTGTGTTACGGCTATATTGCCTTTTAGGTCCAATGGATAATCGAGACTTATTCTCTCCATTGACTTTTTATATTATGATAAAGTTATTAGAACCCATAGTATATACCTAAATAAATCGTTTCATTTGCCTAAAAATCATACAAATATACATATGCATATAAGTGATACAAATGATTTGCAAAGATATTTAAAAAAATAATGTTCACGAAAATACTGCAAAAAATAATTTTGATGAACAAAACGCATGAATTTTTTTGTCTACACATCCTGACTCAGTTTTTTTTCTCCCAAATATTAAATTGTCGGCCCCTTAATGGTTATAGCTGAAGATTTCACAAACAATATAATATGTCTGATGAAATTCAAATTCTGTGGAGTTGACGTTTTATATATTGAAGTTACAAAATTATCATGTTCTATGACACAACATGTGATAGGAATTGTTGAATACTATTTAATTCTACTACATTGTTGGGTTGGGTTCCAATCAGGATTCGAACCTACAACATCAGAGTGTGGCACCTAACCTTCAGTACACAAATTCTGCAATCTAACCAACTCAGCCACCGATGCTTTAGGAGATTGGCTAACACTTTAAATATAACGCAACTGACAGATGGTTTTGGCTATGTGTGGAATGAATACAATGTTAATTCTATTTCTCTTTGTAAGGATATGTACTTCCAAAATGGTGTACAACCAAATACATATTAATGTCAGTTTTTGCTAAAAAGTTCTAATACACTTATATTAGGAAACATGTCCATGCATTTGTGTCATGCAAAACTGGTTATAGACAGGCGGTTATAGGACTGCCACCTGTTTAAATATTGCATTGTCACACCTTGCATTCACATTTATAGGCAGGTCAAAGTGACATTTGTAGTCAGTCATGTATTCAACTAAGCATTCGCCACTGCCCTGACAAGTTGTATTGATTGACAAGGCCTTGTCACCGTTGTTTGCGACAACCTGCCATGGCGTTATTGCAGTTGTATATGTCCCTGTATTTGAACACGTCTTGCGAATATGCACATGTATATTTTTGTTTAGTACCGAAAAGACCATACTTTATCCTCATATAATTTCATGTATATGTCTTTTTGGTTTCGATGATGTTTAAATATTTATTTATTGAGTTTACTCGGAAAACTATGTGAAATACTGCACTTCCTCATTAATAACATCTTTGCGAAATGTGGGGGTAAGACATATAGGCATGAAGTAGGCATCACCATGGGCACCAGTTGTGCTTCCCTTCTTGCATTTGAATCGGAATTTCTGTTAGGATTTGCAATGTCACACTTAGGGATGTCAACTGAAGCTTCGAGGTATATCGATTCTCTTTCACTGATTTACAAACCTGAACTGGAACAGGACTGTATGGCACTTAAACTATTCCATACTGAGTAAACAATATGTGAAATGCTGGACCTCCTCGTTGATAACAGCTGTGTGAAAACTAAGGGTAAGACAAGAGGGATGCCTTCAACTTTCCAATTGTCAACGTTCCCTTTATGTCGCGAAGTATTCAAGCAGCTCTAGCCTATGGAGTTTACATGTCCTTTTTGGGGTACAGTCGAGTATGCTCTTTCCACCATGATTTCAAAGAGCGCCAAAAGACTCTTGCTTTTGCGTTGTTACAACATTCAAAGTAAAGCTTTTCAAACGTTTTATGGCAGACTCGTTGGGGGCATTTCGAAAATTGCTGCATGGTTAACAAATAATATGTCTCAAAATTCTCTATTTGGCGTGGTCAAGATCGTCCCGTGTGTTTTCAGGCGAACAGTTGAATTTAACAAAACTTCAACCTGAACTGAATCGTTTGACGTGTTTAAATATATGCATCAAATTTCGATTGAAAATAAATGTCACTGTTTAACCCAATCTTAGATACTGTCAACGTGTATGTTGACGGGGAATTAGCTCTTGGGGGAATAAAGGACAAAATCGACATCACTGTCCCGGAACGCTTTATGCGCAACATGTAAACAATAAACAACAATTGCACAATGAGCGGAATACCTGCTCTGACAACACAAACACAGCAATGAGCAGACTTTCCAGCTCAGGCGTACAAGAGGTGAGCGGAGCATCAGCTCACCTCAGGGCGTTTCCTACGAGCAGCATATCCTGCTCGAGGTCGTCCCTATGCCAGCACTCGGAATACCAAGCCTGACTAACACCGTAGTAACTGTGTAATGGTAGCACATATATAGTAATGAACAACAATGGACAGACAAAGAGACAACGACGTTGCTTTGGACATATGGGCGTGATTAACAAACACAGTTCATGGGATTATCAATTAGGGCAATAAATGCCATACTATAAAAAGCAGTAGTTAAAGGGAAGTGATATGGTAGTCCAGGCTGACTGACAGTCAAAATACAATGAAATGTTGGTGAGGATTAACAACGGGGATTAGCGCCTAAAACGTAATGACAATTAAGTTATGGAGACATGGCTACAGGGTAAATTGCCCTTGAAGTCAAATGTACTGCAGACAATGGTAGTCATAAATCAGTCGCTATGACAATACTACCATGTGCAAATTGCACTGTAACACCATGTTACAATCAAGTGCCTCGACTTAAAATAGAACAGATTTAGGAGAAAAGGAATCACTCTTTTGGAATCCTTGTCAATTGTGTAAGACAATTCGTCTTTCAACTATCGTATGAACTGGTTTTGTTTTTTTATTAGTTGCATGCCTACAATACTGATCTATAAATTAAAATAAATAAGTAAAATTAAATAATAGTACTCATTCACTGCTGACCCGTAAAGACCCATGTGTGTTGTAAAAGGCGACTATGCTTGTCGTAAGAGGCGACTAACGGGATCGGGTGGTCAGGCTCGCTTGGTCGATGCATGTAATGGTATCCCAATTGCGTGGATCGATGCTCATGGTGTCAATCACTGAATTGCCTGGTCCAGACTTGATTATTTACAGACCGACGTCATACAGCTTGAATATTGTGCGGCGATAAACAACAAACAAACAATCATTCACTGACACCACATAGAAACTGTAAGGAGCCCCACATGTAAATTAATATTCCACAACAGCCAGACAGTGAAAACACACATGTATATATCGACAGAACTACTATCTGCTCACTATCAGAAGCAAACAAAACGGAACGCGTGTTTATCGTCACACCCCGTGCTGGTAGTACAGATAAGAGCAGGAACAAACTGTGAGTGGTATCAGCAAGGGCTTTCTCAGGAACAAATGGGTCATAAAGCCGAGTCACATTTTAAATACTATGGACTCCTAGAAGGGACATTGTCACCTTGACGAAATGAAAACTGATTATTTTATATAAATACATATATTCTGTTTGATCGAGGCGAAAATAAATATGACCATGATGTATTTACAGGTCTATAATGTATCTGAAGGAATTAACTGACGTGACACTACTATACTCACTGGCACACGTATCTATATTTTGCAGTTCATGAACTTCGTGGATATCTTTACCAAGAAAACAGCGTTGTCACTATCCTATTGGGCACGTTAGAACTTTGTTAATTTGTATCGTAGTCAATATAAACTTAAACAAGAAGTCATTTGAAGCCATAAGAAGAGATGGGCACTAGGGTCGTTTTATGACGTCAGAAAAATGATTAAATGTGAAATCAATACACCATCTCTGGCCAAAATAACGCAGTCGTGATAAGTATATCTTCGATAAATTCAGTAGGTTTTCTGATACTATGCACTTTGTAAAGAACAAGGATCAAGGGTCATAACTGTATGCTCAAAATCTAAAAAATGTAGCAAGAGAAGTAACTCTAGGAAAAATGAATTTATGGCACCAATTCGAACTGAGTCTTGATAGATATCTCTTAGACGCTTGCCAAGTTTCTTTGATGTAACTTCAGTAGTTTCTGAGAAAGTTTGTCCCCATTGCAGCCGCAAAGCACAAGGTAAAGTAACATGGATCAAGGGCCGTAACTGTGTAAAGAAATAATTTACGGCCCCAATTTCATTTCTCTAACTTAAAAAGGTTTTGAGAAAATTTGTCCTCTTCGAGAAGCGGATAGAAGGACAGAAGGACTGACGGACGGACGAACTAAGTTCATTGTCCCCCGTCCCACTTCACATTTGTAATCGAATTAATTGGTTGCTTTTTCAAAGTATAACTGATTTGTTAAAATCACACACAGCGTTCACTCTTACACCCGATTTAGACTAAAGCATTCAAGTATCAATAGCAGTCAACTGGTCTAACTGTCACGTCGCTCACATTCCTCGGGAGTGGTCTGTCCTTCTCGTTTCCAAACGAAAGTACAAGTTGTGCTACCGCAGTTATTGTCGGGTAGTTGATTCATGTTGTATGTTTCATACAGTTTGGGTGTGACAAGGGAGGTTCTCGGTGGGGCAGGATACGCTCACCCTTTTGCGAACATCTTGTATCCTTACTATATGATAATGATTCATAAACATATGCGTTTGATACAGTCGGAATTGTGCAATGAATACGGCGTTCAGCAGATATTTCTTATGAATATGGAAATGGTTTTGTGGCTTTTATTCATTTTTGTCAGTTTGAGCTTGCTATCGGTTTCGCTATTCGGGAGACTGCTGACTCCGTATGCCACATTTGGTCTTCATTAACGTTGCATAGTTTATTTCTTTATTAGTTCCGTGTCCCCCAAGTGACGTGCTACCCACAGATCAATAAATCAGCAATGTTGCTTAGTAACGCGAAGAACAAGCTGCTATCATGTTGAGTTGACGGCTTGGTTGTTTTAAAGTCATTGTTCACAATCGGCCCGTGAAGATCCGGGTTAGAATAGCTCTTCAGCAACTCATGCTTGTCGTGTAACGGGATTGGGTAGTCAGTCTCGCTGAACTGGTTGATGCATGTTATCGTCTGGAATATCGATGAGTGCAGCGTTAATAACGACCAAACATTGTTCACAATCATAGCTCTATGCAAATCACTATGTTTACAGCATTGGGCATGGACTACTTGTGATGGCGCGATGCAGGATCAAAATCAGGAAATAGAAGACACCAACAGTAAGTAGCCATATCAGTGATATTATCACAATGTACATCCTATTTTAAGGTCTATCAAAGGGAATATCCTAATATTGAATGAAAAACACACATTGAAATATTCCCTTTCACCAGGATAGTGTAAGCCAGGTGTAGTCAAAAGTGCGTTGCAATTTATTGTAAAGTGTGTTATGATGAATGACTAGGTTTCAGAATATGGATTGCAAAGGGTGTAGGTGGAATGGGACTATCTGTCTGTCTGTCTGTCTGTCTGTCTGTCTGTATGTCTGTCTATCTATCTATCTACCGTTATAACAAACTACCGTTATAACAAACTCAAAGGTACCACCAATTTTAGCTCGTAATAATCGTAATTCGTTTTTAGCAAATACTCAGCATTTATATTTTGGCCGTGACTAAAACAAAAGTTTGTTATATCGGTCAGTTTCTTATAAGCTCGTGTATTGGGGTGTTCTACCGGCACAATAAAGCGGTGAAACTGTGAGTTATAGACTACGAGTCAAACAGTTTACAGTCAAAGATACCGTGTTAGGCTTATATATCTAACAAAACATGGAAAAATAATTACAATTCATGACATGCTGGATACTGAATTAACTTCAGGAAAGCAACTGGGATAGCGCTGCAACCTTCTTTATACTAGAATGTCATTGCATAAGAAATCTTGTGGCGTGACGTCATAGCAGTGTATGGCGTCATCCATAGAATGTCGTTGCGGGTTAGAAGGAAGTACGTAAATGTTTAAAATTTGTTCGATTTGAACGTGATAGATAAACGTGTTATCCATATGTGGTTAAAAATGAAATAAATTCTTTGATCATCCTTTGATGCAGAACTATTTAAAAGGTGCATTTTTTGACTCAATGGTTAAACATTACAGTGTTCCTAGCGCAATAAAATGCACACAAACTCCAACATTTGTTTTCATTTGGGCAGTGAGACTAAACATCACATATTTTAGAAAATGTTAAATACTTATTTGTACGGAGCTGTGGACATACTTTAAGTTTTATTGCAAAGAACAAGGACATTTACAACATGGTCGTTTAGGTAATGTCGTCTAATCTTGATTCATGTATTGATAGTGTATTGTAGGCCTCTATGACTGCATTTTGAAGTTCATGAATAATTATTGCCTTCCATTCAACCACTATGACTGTATGATTCTTAAGACATGTTTATGTTTTTTTTGCAGACTGTCAAACGTGCTCTGCCCTTTTGGATAGAAAGGAAGATTTTGATCTACCAGAGGACAATGCTCTGCCTATTGATGTAAATGTTGATTTAATAAACAAACCTCATGCAAAGTTGAGTAATTTGCAGAAGAAGGAACAACGAGATCAGAGGACTGACTTTGTTAACAAGCTGAAGAAGTACATATCAGCTCTGCGAAACACAGGAGGTGGTATAGTGCTGGTTCACATAAATGGAATAGCAGATGGGGACACATGTCTAGACTACTTCAATGAATTAGTTGATGTGAGACTGAATGATATGATCGAAGATGGCAGTCTCTTTGTGCAAAGTTATCAGAAGGATTGGCTTCTAGACACCGAATCAAACAGTGTAGAGAACAGATGTTTCAAAGGATTTGTTGTCATCCATGTAACTGGTTCTAGTATAGTGACAACATTTAACTTCAATTCAAAACAACCACTTGATAATGCTATAATTGATGTGCAAAGTAATGCAGTCATCAGATTTCTCAAACAGAAAAACAGTTTTCAAAACAAAAGTACATCAATTCGTGGAATACCACAGATCAACGAAAGGCGAAACATTCAAGTGAAAAGTTTCCGTCCTGAAACTCTACCTCCTGGGTTATTGCAAAATGCTGCCACATTCAATGACTATCTTTGGGAAAAGTGTGGTTTAGCAGGATATATAAGTGCCTTTTCTAAATTAGATGCTGGTGGCTCATTCTTCCTTGGCATCAACGAAGACGAAACACAATACCCGAAGGAGACTTACAAGTCAAAGACATTTACAGGAGTGGGCATACAATTCAGAGATTTGCAATTTCGTGAAGATACTAAAACCGCCATCTTGCAGTCTCTACAGAACAACACTGTTATCGTGACATACAGTGGAGAGCCACAGAACACACCTAGAGACACGATTAAAGTCGCATTCCATCACGTAGAGGCAGACAAGTTTGTGCTGGAGGTAGCTGTTGCAGCAGTCGACGGTTTGCTGTGTTTCGATAAGGAAGGACCAGAAGCTTACGAGTTTGAAAATAACGAACTGAAGAGGTTAACGATAAAAGAGTGGTACGAAGGGTAAGTTAAATTTGGTTGTCGATATCAAATTGAAGTTGTCTGTAAATATAATCGAGTCCTTATAAGGCAACAGTATCCAGCTGCTGTCCAGATTTTGTTCAAGAGGTTCAAATCCGATTTTCCATATTGTCAAAATTAAGGTTTCAATTTTTTGTATACACATAATTTCTACATAATCGAGTGTACTATTCCGAATATATCGTGAGCATGTGTCTACGAATCCCTATCAAATAGTGATTGTACCAGGCGTTCGTGAAAAGGTATTCGTGTTCGTTGCTTTATTAGGTATCGGAATATAATATTGATTTCAGTTTGTGTATCAAAGACGAGACTGACACCCAGGCTGAAAGCAGAGATGGCACTACTTGAAAAAGACAGCAACCCTCGTTTAGATGGTATGTTGGTTCTCTGATTAGAAATTTATTGTTAAAGTTCAGATGAGGTAAAATGGGGTTTATTGTCGCCTTCAAGGTTATTGCACTTACATTTTGACGTATTGTAGCATTGAATATTGTTCAAATATAAGTTTTGTGGAAACAGATTTTAAGATATAAATACAGCACTAAACACACAGTAATCACACTTTTCATTTGACTTACTGATTTACTGACATTTTGACAGTAACTTACATAAAGAATAAACTCCAGCAATGATTTAACGGATCATAGTATGTTAAAGAAAGTATATGTTCTGGTAACAGAGAACCTGACACACCGTCCTGTTGGGAGGGTGGACATAAGGAGTCTGTATCAGCGGAGGCCTCCCTGCATGCAGATAGAGAGGAGTCTGGAGGATATAGAGGCCACAGTTTTACATGGAGGTACAGCAAACGTTTTACAACTTGTTGGCACCGAGTTAGAAGTGGTTTATAGCTATATATTCCTTGTATGACTGAACTAAAGTAAATAAGATTTTGTGACGTGACTGATTGTATTTAGTGATTCCTAATATTCTGTGTTATATTTATTCCGCATTTCTTTCACAGGACTAAATACAATCAAGACATTTCCCACGACTTTCCCAGCAGGAGGGGCATATGTTAATTTGAAGACGAGGCTGAATGAGCTCTCAACAATGGAGAATGTTGGTCTGGCATACATCGCTAAATCTCTCCCTGCTACTGCTAATATGGACATTAAGTACAGGACTCCTGGAGATGTTATTTTGGACATATGTCTTATCAGACAGGGCAGTCCTGCAGTTGTTCTTTCTGTTGTGACAGACATGCCTGTGGATATGAAACTTGCTCAACGATACACCTCTGCTGTCTCTAAAGAACTTACAAAGAATGTTCGCAGATTTACGACTGTGACCTTCAACTCTATATACGGGTTACTTCATGAGAAGGACCTCGCATCAAAGGAATCATTTGAATCATCTCTATCAAGGATAGAGAAGGAAAGGTCTCGCCTCTGTGTTCCTGATTCTTTGAGCATGAACAGGGAAAAGTATAAACATGTTGTCCGCGCTTTCCTCTCTTCTGTTGCAGTAACAACGCTTGTTAGTAACAAAAACGAAGAAACTCTATGGTTTTTGACACACAAACAGTTCTGTATCCTGACACACAACATTGATCACACTGAAGTGCATGTAGATACCTGCCCAGCAAGCGGTGGTGGAGTCCTGTCTCTCACAGTTGCTCAACGTCTACAGAAACTTGGACCGACATTGCTGATATCAGATGACCCCACACTAGTCGAGCGTGCAAGGTAACATTTTATGACATTTTTTCTTATTAAAACTATTTTTAATTGATGAATGTGTTTATGTAGGCAGATGCCGACAACATATGATGAATGTGCTGCCTCTGTCCTCCTCACAGAAAGCAGAATATTGATTCCAAGACATTCAATGACATCAAGCAAAGTGAACTGATGGCAGATAAAGAAGATATCATGAACGTTGTTATATACCATGTTGGAGGACCATGCTCATCTGAGACTCCACAGTTACCCCAGCTTTTGTCGGGTGCACATAGGCGCTGGGTTTTCCACAGACAGAAAGGTATTTGTGATCAGCGTGATTCAACATTGTTAACCTCACACCCCTGGGTACGGTGACAAGAATCATTGCTAACGGGATGCTATTATGACAAGACAAACAACTTTATATATTGTTGAAGTAAAGAAAGACCATGTTGATATGATTAGCATCTGGACTAGTTTTCCTATATAACTTGCAAGTTATGATTAACAACAGAAGTATGAAATTTGTGCTAATTCAAGGGAAAATCTGTCTGGGAACATTCCGAGTGTCAGTGATCAAAGATGGACTGTTCGCCTTCTATTTACTATATAGCATAATAGCATGAGTGATGTGTTCCAGGAATGCTTGCGGATGAAGATGGGCAACAAAGGCAAAGCCTTTTGCCAGAACCAGCAACAGTTAGTGACTATGGTGAGTATATAGGGTCAGCATAAACATAATATAAAAAATTTTATACTTTGGATTACACTTTCTCAGTAACGTACAGATTCTCGTACTTGTTTTGGCTAAGTCCCGTCAGGGATTCGAACCCACACTGCCAGACTTAGGCACCTAATCGCCAGTACACAAAGTCAGCGATCTAACCCACTCAGCCACCGAGGCTTCAACAAATGAAAGTCCAACAACTGGCGGTCGTGTACCGTCTGCTTCAAGTAAGCTAATGAACGTGCATAATATCGTTTTTATGTCGTCTGTTAAATGTGTATTTACACAGCTATTGAACAACACGATTTTGTTAATATTGTATAACGTCATCAAAAATGGATGGTTACATGATAATGCGTGCAGTAGGCGACTTGAAACATTATTGAAGGATAGGTGACATGGAAAATTAAAATATATGTGATATAAAACGACCTGTCCCTGTTTATCTTCATGCACACTGGGTGCAACTTGGGAAATAGATTCTGTTCATACTTAAAAAAAGACTCATAGACAATCATTCAATCACAGTCTGGTTGATGAAAGATGCACTTACATTTGGTAACTGCAAATGATATTGTTTTGTTTGTTGTTTAACGCCGCACGCAGCAATATTTAGGCTATATGACGGCGGTCCGTAAAAAATCGAGTGTGGACCAGACAATCCAGTGTTTGATATCATGGGCATCTATCCACGCAATTGGGATACGATGACGTGCATCAACGACGTCAGCGTGCCTGACCACCCGTTCCCGTTGGTCGCCTCTTACGAAATACTCACATGTCATTTTATGCATTGGCAGTTTATAATACATATGTATATTTTACAGATGCGTATACCATGGAAAGAATTCATAATCTTTTAGGTAAGTGGAAGATAAAATACAACCATTCTGATGTGTTGTGCTTTAAACTTGATTCAGTAAAGACTGCTCTATTTAATATGATTAAATATCTAGGAAAAATTGCAATGATGTCTGTTGTTTTCTGTTATTTATAATGAAGCTCGGTCAGTGTGAAGTATACACCATATGCCATCAGAACAAAGTGCCTCAAGTTGTCAAAATGTGCATGGTATACTACATGTAGCATACTGCACTTCATTTTTGTTCCCAGATGCTACCTCTGCCGAAACAGCAATGGCCATCAAGGACAGCTTCAGAACATCAGCTGTTGATGATGTCATCAAACTGCTGGAAGGGGACAATCGGTGGATCACAATCACTGGTCTGCCAGGGGAAGGAAAAACCACTCTTGGGTACATGGTTCTGGAGACGATGAAAGCCAAAGGAGCAACAGTTTGTGTCATTGACAATCCAAACAATTATGCTCTTTTCACAGACAATGCAGTAACTATGCATGTGTTTTTGTTCAAGGATGTTTTGAGCTATGCTACCTGTGACCTAGAAATCAGGACACAATGGATTCACTTTATCAATAACTTACATAGACAGATAGTCAAGGGTGAGCATGTCAACAATGTCTATGCTGTCTTCATATGCAACAAACATGATGAGGAATGGAAATATTTCGGTGGATATGATGAGGAAATATTCCACAGAAATGTTTTCAACCTGAGTGAGCACTTCAGAGAAACCCATAGTGAACGAACCACAGTTCTTGAATACTTTCTGCAGAAATACCAGATTCCAGTACAAAGACTGGGCACAAGCATTGCCTGCATCACGCATGGATTTCTACATTGCTGTAAACTCTTTTGTGAATGGCAAAAGACAAATCAGACAAAACTGTCTCTTTTTTTCTCAGATCCTCTTTTTTATGTAATGAATATAGTCAGTGCCCACATACACGATGTAAGTACCATGACATTTCTACGCAATATGCTACAGAATGATAGATTCATCTCCACAAAAGAAGTTGTTCTTCCAAAGCCTTTGTCTCAAATGCCTGGTGTATTCCTTCAGGAGGACAAACAGATGCTAACGTTCAGTCATCCATCTGTTCGCATGGTAGTAGCATTGGTTGTCGGAAAGGAAGATCCGCTATTTGTCCTTCAGAACTGTAATTCAACCTTTGTCATTCCACGGCTGAAGATCCATACAGCAAAAGAAGATACAGGATTCTTATACGTCAATATGGACAACCCTGAGGTGTTGCAAAAAGTCATATCGACCTTCAAACATGCTTTGCAAGAGGGATTCTTTGATGTAATAGGACATGAAATGTGCCTTGAAGAAACATTCTGTCGAAAGCTGCTGACAGATGTTTCAAACGTAAGCATGGAATACTTGAATATCACATTCTATGAAATTATTTCATGTTCTTTGATGATGAAAGTGCAGTTGCGTCACAATATTAATAGTTATGGTGTCTTTAGTTGCCGTTAACAGTGTCATATTAGGTTAGCAGAAAAATATATGGTGAGGCGTCATTTATTTTGCCGAAAGGTTTACACTATTTGGTATCTTTGCCTTTGTATCTTTCCAAATGAAAACTTGACACTTACAACAGTATAAACGACAGGACCAGTACATATGTTTCTGATACAACGCTTTAATATAACCATAAACATTAACAATTTAATATATAATGCACTAAATGTGAACGTTTAAAGTACTACAGGTAAAATGGATAGAATTATCATAAAAATGCCTGAATGTTTACAGAAATCTGTGAAATCATTTTCCTAACGACGGATTGCTGTCTATTCTATTGCTATGTCTAGTCATTGGCGTCACGTTTCTTGTTTGTGACGTCATCCTATATTATGTTCTATGACGTTGCTATTTGTAACACAGTGACCTCCACTGTAAGCTTTTTTTCTCTATAATGTTTATTATTAAAGACACGAAGGGGGTCTCTTTAAAAATTCATATCTTTGCTCATCACAACTGATGATATTAAAACACAAAACAGTGTCGAATAAGGATTTTCTGTACCAGAATTTTCATGTGAGATATGTGTTGGAAAATCCAAAATGGCTGTTACTGACGGTATACGGCCTCATATTAGGTCAGTAACAACCATCTTGGATTTTTACTGACGGTACACGGGCTCATATGGGATTAGCAGTTCTGTGTGTTGATTGGTCAATCTCACTTTGAGGCATAATAAAGGGTAAGATAAGGAGGGTTGAACAGGAAAAATCTGAACATTAATAAAAGTAGCCTTAATCTAGTCCACAACTGAAAACTGCATATTGATGTTTGGTCAGCCAGAATCTGATAATGATAACGGTTTCATTACCTGTCCAAACATTTGGAGATTGTTTATTTGGAGATTGTGCTTTTCAGACATCTTCAACATTTCTAAACGAAGTGAACATGGATGGGTATTCGTTACTTCATGTAGCCCTGAGACATGGCAACAAAGTTGCTGTACGTGTCCTTCTTGACATGAAAGTGAATGTGAAAGCCAAATGTCATGGTAAAACGGTGCTACACATCTTCTGTGAAGACATTAAATTCGACGAAGATCTCTTCTTACTATTTCTTGAGAATGGTGCCGATGTCAGTGCAGTTGATGAAGAAGGACAAACTATTCTTCACCATTTATGCATGCTGTCGGGAAATGACCCTGCAATCCCATTGGTATTAGGTAAGGGCTGTGACACTACGGTTACAGATAAGAGTGGGAAAACAGCACTACATTATTTATGTGCAAACAGACACATTGATGAAGACTTGGTCACAAGACTAATTCAGTCAGGCTGTGATGTGAATATGTTTGACAAATGGGGAAAGAACGCTCTGCACTATTTGTGTGAAAGTTCTGTGTTTGATCAGAAACTTTTTCATATCATAGTCAAACATTGTGCTGATGTTAGTGCAACCGATCACTTTGGTAACATGGCACTGCATTATGCTGCTGAAAGGGCCCATCCGCTCTATACCATAGATTTTCTCATTAAAAATGGATCAAATATCAATTGGAAAACTAAATCCGGAGACACAGTACCACTCCTGCTTTGTAAGTTGAATAAATTACAAAGCCAACTTTTGGACTATTTAATTGGACATGGTGCTGATCTAAATGTGGCGGATGAGGATGGAAAGACGATCCTCATTATTCTTGCCGAAAATGGGACTCTAAATCTTGACATGTTACGCTTGTTAATATCAGCTGGTTGTGATGTCAACAAGCAGGATGATTTGGGTAGCACACCTCTCCATTACTGCTGTATCAGAGGTAATATGGATAAAACTATTTTCCGGATGCTGCGGTACTATGGTACAAATGTAAACCACCCAAATCAGTTTCTGAAGACCCCACTTCACTATGCTTGTGAACACAAGTACATTTATCCGCAGGTCATTAAACATCTAATCCTATCTGGTGCTGACACAAATGCCACTGACCTGCATGAAATGACCCCACTGATATATCTGTGTGAGAACACACGTACAAGTATGGATGATTTCTCTTTGAGTTTGGATATGTTGTTACAGGGAAAATGTGATTTGAACAAATCAGACAAAGATAGAAAAACGGCTCTGCATTATGTCTGTGAAAGGCAGAAAAATACAAAAATCATATGTGAGTTGATTCGAAAGTGTGAAGAAGTCAACATGAGCGATAGCCACGGGAGTACACCACTGCACTATCTTTGTATGAGGGAAGACCTAAAGGATCTATCAGGGATGGTGAATATGCTGACTCAAAAAGATTCAGACCCGAACATATGCGATGAGTGGAGGCGAGCACCACTACATCTCTTGTGCAACAGAAAGCATATTGACAAGGATATTATCAGGATCTTATTGACCGCTGGTGCAAACGTAAATGTGAGGGATGTTTTCAAAAAGACCCCACTTCACTATGCTTGTGATCATACAACTGTTAACAGAGATGCTATAACTTTGTTGATACGTGGGCGTGCTGATGTGAACATTTCAGACGGCAATGAACGAACACCTCTGCATCTATTATGCAGGCAGAAGCATATAGATATAGAAGCTGTGAAAATTCTTTTGAAACATAACACCCTTGTAAACAACACTGATGAGCACGGAAATACTGTCCTTCATTATGTGAGTCAAAATGAGGCGTCAACCAAAGATATTGTGACTCTTTTAATAGAACATGGTGCTGATTTAGACAAGACCAATGGTTTAGGCATATCAGTCTCAGAATGCCTTTTAAAGCGGACAGATTTGAAACCAATTGTACAGCGAGCCATCTGGAAACATATGCCAGCAGGCAGTACAATGCAAGCAGCAGAAGACTACAACCTCAGGTTTCAACTACCAAATGGAGCACAAGAATTGTTCAAAGAAATCGGTAGGACTGGGACCATTGACAGAAAAGACAAACATGGGAAGACATTTCTGCATTATGCCTGTGCTATGAAATATGATAGCATCATTGAACAAATATTGAAGCTCAACTGTGATATTAATCTGAAAGATTCTGATCACATGACGGCATTGCATATCATTTGCAAACGAACTGATGGGAACATTCAGAAATTCATAGCACTTTTGTTGGAGCATGGTGCTGAAGTTGACATGACTGACAGGTATGGACATACACCACTGCATTATCTTGGCATGACCACAATTAACGCTGAACAAAATGCTACTCACCTGGAACTGCTGTTGAACGGGGGCGCAGATGTCAGCAGGGCTGATGGTAATGGCATACATTTAGTTCACTATCTGGCTATTGCGGGAATATGCGATAAAATAAAAGTTGCACTGGATAAAGAGACAAGAGACGTTGATGTGACCGTTAAACATGATGTCAGTACAGTCATGCATAAAGGACAGACAGCGCTTCATTTAGCATGCATTTCATCTGAAGCTGGAACAGGTGTTGTCAGAGAGTTGCTGAAGTTTAAGGCTAATATATGTGCCACTGACAGAAGAGGAAGAACACCTTTACACTACCTATGTCTGAGTCCGTGCAAAATTGCATATAATGCAAAAACAAATGAACTGACCGTTGAACCTACAACAGACAGTAAAGGGCGGAAAGAACTTGTGGAGCTTTTACTTGCCCATCATATGAAGAAGAAGAGGAAACAAAGGGAACAATGGCTGGTTGATGAGGACAGCACTTCTGACTCGGTAAGTACCACAGTTAGTTACAACATTGACTGAAAGGTAGAAATAAACTAATGATACACAAAATTAATACAGAAACAGCATACTGTTACATTTATTTACATTTAGCGTTCAGATCCGAAATAAAGCTTACTTATACGTAATATAATCTAATTTCAATGTTACATTGACATGTAAATATACATTGTTTGTGGTACGGCTTTTTGTTTGCTGTTTTAGGGTCTTGGAGATTTAAGTGATTGTTCAAAAACAACGAAGAATGCAAGTGTCCCTGTTCCTCCTGCTGTCAAAGATTATGTTAACATGACGGACGACAGGGGAAGATCTGCGTTCCAGTATCTTTGTTCAAGTGGCACCATAGACAATGAACTTTTCCAATACATGATCTCACTGGACCCAACTCTAAAGGCGTGGTTAGTCAACAACAGTGACTACAATGGTCTAACAGTCCTACATTCGCTTGTGCTATCAGGATCACATCTTACCGAGAAGATAATCGGTGACATAAAATATATCAACGGTACCCTTTTTGATAGAGCTAAGGATGCATTCTTTGTTATTTCGCCTGGTCAAACGGCCCTACATTTAGCTTGTAGAACTATTAATGCTGATCTGAAGATTGTGCAACTATTGCTTCAGCACAAGGCTAACGTCAACGTAATTGACTGCAATGGCAGGACACCACTGTTCTACATCTGTGAAGACGCGCAGAACATCTCATGGGACCAGGGCAGCCACGAATTTGTCATAAAGTCTGATAGCAAGCCCTCAGAAGCCCTTCAGGATATCCGATATAACATTGCCTTAGCCCTTATACATGTAGGGGCTTCGACAGACAAACCCAGTGATGATGGTGTCCAAGCTCTCCATGGCCAGTTTAGAACCATGATTAGTAGTACATGAGTCTTTACTTGACCAATGTGTCCACGGATGATGCACATAGTGTTCCTGAAGTCTCCATTCTTATCCAATTTCTGAGGAGGTTGTGAATATTTCACTTAAGTCTGTACTTATTTGCCCAAGATCATGTACATGCTGTCATTTCGGCCATAGCTTGCATCAATGTGGCCAGGACGTTGTATATAATGCCATTCAAGTCTCTACTTAACCAATACCCCAGGGATGGTGGCTATTGTTTCATTTTAGTCACTTCATAAACAGTGTGCCCGGGATGTTCTATATAATTCCTCTTTAGTATCCACATGTCCAGTGTTTGATGTAAATGGTCTCGACAGGATGTAGTGCATCAGTCCACATTTGCCAAGGATCTTGTGTAAAGTTTACCGAATTCTTTCATGCAACATTTTTCCAAAATGTTGTTTATAATGCCATAATGGTCTGTACATCAGTTTGTATAGGGATTGACGTTTGGCGTTGCTAATTCATCTACCTAACGAATTTACCCAGAGTGGTTTCAATTTTAGTTCTTGATAAATATAATTGCTTGGGATGTCGTTTATCATGTCATTCAAGAATTTTCTTAATCAATTCGCTCAGGATGTTGTACATTGTGTCATTGAAATCTCTACTTTACTTTGTATAGAATGTTTTTTTACGTCTCTGAAGTATCTATTCAACACGTTCCCTTCGGGATGTTGTATGTCATGTCACTTGGGGTCCCGCCATTTAGTATTCTAGGGGAGTGGGTGGTGATAGGATGTTTGTTTGCAATAGGATAAATAGAGGATATTTCATGTGTCGAGAGATGCGCCACTCCTGAAAATGAGATGAGATATTTCACGAGACACATGGAATAACCTATTTATTATATACGCTTTTTGTAGTTGTAGTTGTCAACCGGAAAATATAATTATTTCATATCAAAAGTAAAACCAGGAAACATAAATTGTCCCTACATAACACACAGAGACGCGTCACCATCCCCTTGTATTTGCGACCCGAAAAGTAGTTTCCCGTTTGCAAAATCATAAAAATATAAACAAAATTAACAAAAAATAATTAGGGTCACGAAAATGCTGTATCATACAAACTTTTACAAAAAATATTCTTGAAAACTTTGAGACCACTTTTGGAAGCGAATGATTACACTCATGTCAAGTAACAAAAATGGTGCGAAACGAACGGTCTCGATTGAAGAATTGAATGCAAAATGTCCTGTTTATAACGGAACATTTTCAAGAGAATAACAAACGCAATGAAGAGATATTTACTCCATAAATGACCATCTGTCATTATTTGGCCTTGTCAATGTGGAACTAACGTAAACGGATGTCAACAATTTTTGAACAGGCCAGACACTTACGAAAAGGGAGGCAATTTGAATATAGTTCCTTTAAAGTGTTATGTTCAGTGCGGTGAAATATCAACTGTTATGTTCAGTGCGGTGAAATATCAATTGTTATGTTCAGTGCGGTGAAATATCAATTGTTATGTTCAGTGGGGTGAAATATCATTTGTTATGTTCACTGCAATGAAAATACCACTCTTCTCAACTTCGGAAAACTCAGTCTTTCACACTTAAGTATGTGATAATAGTTTGTTCATTGCTTCAAGACTGTTATTTTACAAACGTGTTTCAGGACGCACTAAGTATCAAATAGCCGGTCCCTTAACTATCTACTTTACCAATTTGCCAAGGGTTGCTTTAAGTCTCTGCTCGAATAAAGTTTGCCAGGATGATGTATGTACTGCCACTCAAATCTGTACATAACTAATTTGTCCAGGATGTTGTGTATGATGTCACTTGAGTCAGGATGTTGTTTCAAATACTACTTATCTACTTAAATATCTAATCAACCAATTTGCGGATAATGTTGCAAAAAGTGACTATTTGGTCAGTTCTTGACCAATATGTCCAATATATATGTAGTGTCATAAGTAGTATAGGTAATGGGGGTTCTGCCGCAACTCCACTGGAGCAGGATTCATATACCTATACTGCTACTACAGGAGGAATTTTTTATGCCAAAATGATGATGCGATTTAATGATAGTCATAAGATTAAGTTAAATTGGCTCTAGGTGGAGTCAATGATATAAATTTTTATAGGTAATGATGGTTCTGGACCACTACCAATACCTGGGGCCAATCATTGCTTTAGATGAGTCTAAATGGTAATAAAAATATTCTTTATTATTTTTATCGATAAAGCGATATTCAACATTTTTATTAAGTTCTTCGTTCATTTTACTAGGAGACCAGACTATATAACTACACTCTTTTTGTAAATTGATAAGAAACAATTGATAACCGTATTTGGTTGGTTTGACATCACTGATATAATAAAAACCTTGTGGTAATTCTTTCCATTGAATAGCTTTCTCCATTATTATATATTTATGTTAGCATTTGTCTAAATGTAATCACACGATAGTAAACAATCTATTTTTAATCTCCAACCAGTTCTTTGGTTTTGGCACGGAATAATTGACGCGCTTGTTGCCTCCCCTCTTCTATGAACTTTTTTTTCTCGTCTTCGTTAATACCACTGGTCTTACGAGATTTTGATCGAATCTCCTGCTTCATTTTATTGTATTTGTTGAGCTCCAACAGCACTAAACGAAACTCATCCTCGGATATCTTACAATCAGCCATTGCTGTCGAAATATGATCCTCAATGCTGTTCAACTTTGCTTCGGCGAGTATCCGAATACTATCGTGTTTTAATGCTTTCTTTTGTAACCTACGAGAAATGAATTTTATCGCTATTCCTGCCAGTCCCGAGACTCCAGCGGTTATTTCCATGCCGAGCACGATAGGCGCGGCGATTATAGTTGATAGTAAACCGATACCCGCTACACCGAGTCCCATGCCAGATACTACAAGAGCGGTGTCAACTCCGTCCAGAGCATTCACGGCTCTGCGATACTTTTTATACAATCCAAGTCTCAACTCCCTATCCTTCCCTATTCGATGTTTTATGTCGCTTATTTGATGTAATCGAAATCCATCAACGGTATCCATCTTTTCAAATGCTTCATTGAGCGCCGGATATAAACTCATAGTGTATATAACGATCATATAATAGTCTTTAATTGGTCTTGCTTAAATGTTTTGAGACTATACATCAACCTGATCAAATGTATATTATACGGCAAGAATATCTTAGTAAGAGAAATACTGTCACTTTTAATAATTTGGACCCCCTCGAGGGTTGCAACGGGCGATGCTCCGATATGAATAATACTGCAACGTTGACGCTCGTGATTCTTGAACCATTTAATCGATAGACCTGGTAATATATCGAAGGCATCTTCCGGTGCATCTCCGAACAAGACTTCAATAATAAGCGTAGAAAGATTAGGTATTGCACTCAAGTTATCTTTAATATCTTCGAATTCAGTAACCAAATTTAAAGTAACATTTTTTAAGGCCGGACGACTATATATCATATGACCTGGGTTTTCTGGCAGGGGGGTAACTAACACACTTTTTCGTTTTGATGGGATATAAGCCGCGAGTACGATGCCACTATTTATTATCTTAGTTAAATTATGTCCCTTACCCATCATCACATAAGGTGGGGTAATGACGATATTCAGTAGCCACTCGATGTTTGCTTCAACCATAGTCCATTTATTATCGTCGTTGCGAGTAATATTGTACGAAGTGTTTTTAAGGAGTCTACTAACATCGACATCGCTTAAATCTCCTAGATTACCCGTGAATGTGACTTCTTTCCGCTTGTATACATTATCGTGTAAGTGTAAAGCGTATAACTTACCATCGGTGCCGGGTTTACCAAATCGTTCCGTGTCTCCGAGATCGGAAAGCGCAATTGTATTACATTGTCTTACTGTTCCAGGGCCTGATGCATCAACCATTATTTTTAATATGGAGTGTTACACTTAAGTATCCTATATGTACAGGTTAATGTTCAAATCTTATACAGAAATTTTAGGTCTGAAATAATTCCCCGCTTTAATTTTTTGTATTGTAGTGACGAGAAAGATTCCGTTCTACCGCTATTATATTTTTCATTTTTCACTGGAATAGATCTGAGCAAAGTTGAAGGACTTTCTAGTTGAATATTATTTGTCGTACTGATTTGATCAAGATGGATACACAACTCTTTATAGGGAACTAAATCGGACAATGTCTCTTCATCAAATGTTGCCTTGAATATTGATAAAATTCCGCGTGTAAATCCAAGTGTAGCTGATAAGTTCCCTACAATCCGTACACCTTTTTCTCCAGTGTCGAATTTCAACATTCCATTGGACTCATTTTGTGTTAGACTAATTCCATTAGACTTAAAAATTTCATCATTGAGTGAGCATACGCTGTAATACCCATCAGGTATAATAATGAATTTTTCAATAATATTTTGTTCATCTAATATCCATATCTTATTATTACCTCTCACAGCACTTATATTGGTCCACAGTGGGTAATACGTTACATCGCATAGAGCGACTTCGAGTTGTCCATCCGAGTTATCGATAGTACGAAGCAGTTGAATAGACTGACCATTTGTTATTCCCAGGAGTGTAACATACATATCAAACATACAATGATACTATATCATAACTTAAATATGGAATTAACCATTATATAATATGGAGTGTTACACTTAAGTATCCTATATGTACAGGTTGGTGTTTTACATCTAATACAGAAATTTTGTGGTCTGAAATAATACCACGCTTCAATTTTTTATATTGTAATGTCGAGAATGATTCCGTTCTACCGTATTATATTTTTCATTTTTCACTGGAACACTTCTGAGTAGAGTTGAAGGACTTTCTAGTTGAATATTATCCGTCGTGCTTATTTGATCAAGATGGATGAACAACTCTTTATAGGGAACTAAATCGGGTAATTTAATTCCCTGTCGTGGTTTGTTAGAATTTATAATTCCTATTCTATGATGAAATCCAAGTGTAACTTCTAAGTATGGGATAAGAACTACAGCGTTTTCTCCAGAGTCGATTTTCACTGTCCCATTCGACTCATTTTGTGTTAGACTAGCTCCATTAGGCTTAAAAAATTCATCATTGAGTGAGCATACGCTGTAATACCCATCAGGTATAGTAATGAATTTATCAATACCATTGTTTTCACCTATTATATGTATCTCATTATTATCTCTCGCAGCACTTATATTGGTCCACAGTGGGTAATACGTTACATCACATACAGCTACTTCGAGCTGACCATCCGAGTTATCGATAGTATGAAGCAGTTCAATAGACTGACCATTTGTTATTCCCGGGAGTGTAACATACATATTAAATATACAATGATACTATATCATAACTTAAATATGAAATCGAGATACATTACTAAT